CTTGGAAGGTGTCACCTTGCCAAGCAGCCTGCAGACTTTGACCTTTGGCGATGAGTTCAACCAGAGCTTGCAAGGTGTCACCTTGCCAAGCAGCCTGCAGACTTTGACCTTTGGCAAATACTTTGACAAGAGCTTGGAAGGTGTCACATTGCCAAGCAGCCTGCAGACTTTGACCTTTGGCGATCAGTTCAACCAGAGCTTGCAAGGTGTCACCTTGCCGCCTGCAAACTTTGACCTTTGGCCTTATCTTTAACAAGAGCTTGAAAGGTGTTATCTTACCAAGCAGCTTGCAGACTTTGACCTTTGGCTGGGAATTCAACCAGAGCTTGAAATGTGTGATCTTGCCAAGCAGCCTGCAGACTTTGACCTTCGACTACATGTTCAACCAGAGCTTGGAAGGTGTCACCTTGCCAAGCAGCCTGCAGACTTTGACCTTCTGCCGGAAGTTCAACCAGAGCTTGGAAGGTGTCACCTTGCCAAGCAGCCTGCAGACTTTGACCTTCGGCGAGGAGTTTAACCAGAGCTTGAAAGGTGTCACCTTGCCAAGCAGCCTGCAGACTTTGACCTTCGGCTACAACTTCAACCAGAGCTTGGACAGTGTCACCTTGCCAAGCAGCCTGCAGACGTTGACCTTTGGTCCCGCCTTTGACCCTCGCTTCTTGGACGGCATCACCTTGACAAGTAGCTTGCACGAGCTTCGCTGTGAGCTGTTTCATATTCACGTTCATTGCTGGGATTTGTAATGATGTACTCGCGGTTTCCTCACTCATGACTCCGTCACAGCTACGTCACTACCTTTTTGGGTGTGACTGACGATATTGGTGTGTAGTGTGCAGCCCAGCAATCCGCCTCCACTCGTGACATGAGCGACGATCCAAAAAAAGAGGGAATGATACCTCTGTTGTCGCAGATCCAGTCCCGGGTGTGTCGGAGCACCTGGACCTAGCTATATAAGGGGTTGCTGACCACGAAAGAAAAACACAGGACAGGAACTGCTGACAGGCATTTCATCTTTTTTTTCATGGTTCAGGTACTGAAATGCCTGTCATCTGTTCTAAGGGCTTGATTGCATGGCACAGGAGCAAACTCATACCGAACACGTTGGGGTCCACCATGAACCGACAAGCACGGATGGAGGAATTTTCTCGGATGAATTCCCCTGACGTTGAGCTTTGATCTCAGCTTTCGGTAGCCTTCAGCAGTCGTGTAAATGGTAAAGGTTCCATTCAGCAGATTTCAGGTGTTTGACTGCGCCACTGACTAGACCTAATGTAGACTCTTGATTTATAACCCCCCATCTATGAGGAGGTTTTTCAATTCAAATGGGAGAGGTTATTAATCAAGGTTTGAAGCAGATTGAATGGATACAGAATCAAGATCTTCAGTAATGAATGGTTTAAATATGTTTAAATCAAGAGCCTACATTCCGAAATCCAGATTTCTTTGGATGTCTTTGGGTGCCACGCTGATCAGTCGGCGGCTTAGGTGGCAGGAGCCGAGCCGCCCGGAGCCCTTCCCATCTCCGGCCCGATCACCCCAAAGGCGGCGAGACAACGTGGGATCTGAGAAGTGAGACATGGGTTTTGCGGAGAAAGGGTGATGTTATGTGATGTTCATTGTATGTTATTGTTCATTTGCACGAGGTTTCATCATCATCATCATCATCATCATCATCATCATCGTCATCATCATCATCATCATCATCATTCATCACCATTCATCACCATTCGTCACCATTCATCACGTTGTATGTTCATGTCGTTTTGTTTCCTTTATTTTCCCCATGGGTGAATCATGTGAATCCCTTGGCATGGGGAAGATGTTTTTGGACTCCAGGGGGACAGACCACGACCGTTTCAGATGGTTTTTTCCACTACGTGGACTACCTAGCGCTACACCTGTCGGGTGTCCAATGGAGAGCCATGAGTGTAGGGATGTTCATTGGTGGCTCCTTGGAAGCAGTTCAGCTGGCTGGAAGAGTATATGTAATTACTTAATCTATAAGAGTAATAGATCCAATCACTGAATGGGCCCCCTCGTTGGAGAGGAGCAGGATGCTGCAAGAATTTGGATGGGAGTATGATTGTATTCATTGGCTGAAATGGTGTAGCAGGATAAAGCTGTGAGTCATACCATGCTTTAGTATGCCTTAGTCATCTTCGGTCCCACTTGGATGGTCCACTCAGAGTCGAAACCCTAAATGAGTCACGCTGTAAAACCAAGATCCCTCCAGAACGAAGCTGGAGGAAAAAGGAAACACAATGTACCGTACGTAGCTCACGTCGTGATCACACGTGTTGAGTGATTTGCTCAATCCTTTGGATCAACCATCAAACTGCCTGTAGGCTTGCTGTGGCAGAAGAGGTCAGCGGTCAAGAGGGCTGGACATGCACTCGACTCGAGGGAAAAACGACCGAAAACAGCATGAGGGGTCCAGCACGGGGGTTATTGTTATTCATTGATTCAGGCTTATAAAGCCCACCGTTTGAAGTATGAAGCATCAAGATGCACCGTTTGCAGACATTTGATGAAATTGGACATCAACAGCTGCATGCTTTCTACGGCACGGGAAGAGTGGGTGAGACTTCTCTGCGTTTTCAGCAGTTTCATCCACAAAAGGCCAAGTGTTCGTGTCGACTCTCCCTGTAATCTCTCTACTTGTAACAGTCCATGTATTTTTTTTTTCCCAACAGATTGTTAAGTGTTCAGGGTCAATGTAACATGGGTAATCATTCCATACATGATTCATTCATGTTTGCAGGGGATTATACAAGTCCCAAATCCTCCAAGGGGTCGCCTTCTCATTCTTGTCACGTGCGCCCCATCGGGATCACCCAGCTACCGCACCGCACGGAGATGGAGCGTTCCTTCGGCGCTGCAGGAGCTGCAGGAGTTGTTGAGCCAAGTGCAATCCTTGACTTCCAGGGTGCTGGCCTTGGAGGAGCAGAAAGTTTGCCTCTGATTGGGGGAGGGGGTGTGAAATGTCGTTTACAAAAGAAGAGGTCAAGTAAAAGTATCCAGGCTATCAGGACTCAGGAGGTGTGTCTTTAATTGTTTTGTTTGTGTGTGTGTGTGTTTTCTTTCTATTCTTTGGGGTAAGCAGTTTCTGTTCGACGGTCACTTGAAAGATTTTGCCTGCAGTGCTCGCTGAATTTCACCATCAGTGCTACCATCAAGGTCGTGTGTCACGACGATGAGCGGCATACGCACTTGGTAAATCCAAATCCACAATCCCAAAGGACTTTCCATACGCCTTCGGATCATACCACAAAATTCTCAAACTCTTGGAATTGTTCCCAGCGGCCCCGAACGGCCCCAGAACGGCCCCCGTTCGGCGTTGCGCCAGGAGGAGAAGCAGCGCTCAGCCCGCCGAATGACTGAGAGGCAGCTGGTCACATGACCCACAGCAATCGTTAAAACGCTTCGTTTGTACTTGTGGTTATACGAATGATGGGTTCGGGGTGTACTATCCACAACACATACTGTAGCAATCCACCTTGGTATTTTCACTACAATATCGATGATGATACCATCATCACAAAACAATCATTTTGTTTAATAAATCATGATCTGCCCATGTTGGAGGTGGCATGTCAGAGCCGATTTTATAGAGAACACAGGAAGTTACGTGCCTCGATTGTATAGAGGATTTTTGTGCATGAAAACATATCTTGGCAAGCTAAAGAAGTCTGATTTTGTTGTAGTGAAGCCATGATGGAATTTTAGATGTCAAGAATATTTTTTGGCCAATGATCATGTTGAGATACTATAGAATTGTGGTAGCTTTCATTATTTCATGCAGGAATAGGTTGCTAGAGGTCCTGTTTTCAACGTAGTCAGATTTTGCAACACAAAGCCTGTTATATATTCTATAGAGACTGTACTACCCCATACTTGAAGAACAAAAACTGTTCGAACATACCTGTGCCCTACGATTCTATAGTGATTGTACTTGAAATGTCTATTGTACTTCTTTTCCATGTCCCCGACCCAATTCTATAGAGCTGGCCATGATTTTCTGTCTCACAATGCCCAATTCTATAGAGCTCAAAATGCAGCCTCTCATTTTGGTTGTCATATGCAGCATGTTATAAGTACAAAATCGGTGTAGCCAGCCCCCCCACTTAATTCCAAGGGCATTTGTAGAAAAGAACTACTCGAAACCACTACTCCCCCAAAAACGGCAAATAGCCCGTTGCACCGTTGCATCCCCCCCCCCATTAACGCGGTCAGCGGTCAATTCCACCCCCCTCTTCAAGCGAGCTCATTTCAAGAACACGTCCCGTTCACCGCTCGCATCCCACGTCCGTCCGGGTCAGGTCTGCCCACGGCAACGGTCCACGGAACGGTTCGCGGAACGGAACGGTCCACCCGTAGGTTTCAGCAGCTCGCACGGACCTGTGAGGGCTCGGTGACCGAGAGGGATGCACCGCGCGCGTGGGGCGGCTGGACACCTGGCGACCGACTCGGTGTCGAAAGCAGCGTAGACTCGGAAAGCCAGCTCTGTGGAAAAGCGTGGGTTTAGGTGTGGGGTGTGGAAGTGAGTGTCCAGTTCGGAAGTGGACATTATTCATCAATCAAATCTGGTTCTTTGATGAATCTGTTGAGCTGATCCTTTTTGGGGGGAACACTCTCATATGCAGCTTGCAGATGTTTCAGTCATGAATTGCTCAAAGTCGAAGGACCCGGCCCAAGGAGGGGAGACGGCAGCCAGTTCTCACAGATGATTTGATGAAGAGGCTGAGACGGAGCAAGACAAGTGAAGAATTCCATACTTCTTGGCATGTTTGGAGCCTCTGAGTGCAGTTAAGCTAGGTACAAGTACCCGTTGTTTGTGAAAAAAGTAATGCCCCAAACCTTGTAGGGCCGCCTGTTTTGCTGCACATACCTTTGGCAGTACCTTTGGCCTGTATGTAGGGGTTTGGAGTAGTTGGGATGGGATAGCATGACATCACTGTCTTTATAGCCACCTTTTTCCTGTTCCGTTCCATGGACCGATCGGTTGTTTCAATGGGTCCATGGAGTCCGTCACTTGTTTCATGGTCGACGCCTGTTGTTCGGACGACGCCGGTTGTTCGGGTCCACATCAAGACGCAAGACCATTCTACTGGGATGAACCGTGGATATTGCCTACTATATAACCTTTATAAACCCACGGTTCATCCCAGTAGCGAAGATGGCCTATGAAGAGCAAGGGACGTGCGTCGGCCACGGACACGGCTCCCGAAGTCGGCGACTCATCGCTCCGAGGTCAAGGCGAGCTCATCGCTGCTCAGCAACGGCGACTGGAGACGCAGGAGACGAGAGCAGTGGAAGATTGGGAGGGTGCTACATTGGAAGGGTTTGAAGGTTGGATTTGTCTCAACATGAGCCAAAGATTGGATTCATCCAAGTTTCCTTCTAGGTGTTGTTGTTGATGATTTGTCAGATTGCTTTCAGGCACCGAGTTTTTGTGAGGAAGTATGAGAATCTCAAATCTATACCTGCACCATCAAGAAGTATTATACAGTTACATGTTTCTATCACTGTCATGTGTAATTATCATATTGATCATCCATGAAGTTCATGTCCAGTATAATTTGTGTTCATTCCCATCGCAATGTATCAGCAATATTCAAGAATGGGTGCATTAATTAATTATGGTCGTCATGCCAGGATTTTGCTTTCATGTTGCCTATCATCATCATCATCATCATCATCATCATCATCATCATCATCATCATCATCATCATCATCATCTCAT